ATGTACGAAGATTGCCTTGAAAGTCCAGGGCCAACATTTGTGTGCTCATTTTGTTTAGAAAACTAGTAATTGCTACTTGTGTCATATTTTGATTTATTTAAAATATTCCATTGGTCTGAGTAATATTCATTCCATCATTTGATATTTGTTATAATTTATTGAATTAATTTGATTGAATCCACCCATTTATTCAAGTCAAAACATCCAAATTTCAGTAAACTGAAAATATCTGTCAGTTCTATTCAGTTGAAATAAATATTCGATCTTTTTTTCTAATAATTGTATAAAATGCAAAAAACGTCATGAAAATTTCATTTAGTTTTATTAATGAAATTTGGTTGTATTAAAAAATATTTCTGATGTTCTTATCTTTTATGTTCAAAACCAAAGGTAGGAGACACTGAAATATGTGAAATATAAACTTGAATGGTTATGAACATAATACTTATAATGTTATCCGTATTTGCTACTGAATTAAAATCAAAAGATTGATTTGAATTGATCAGTTCGGCATTTCAAAAGTCTAGAATACTGATCCGATTCAAAAAACTGTATACACCTCAGCAACCTTTGATGCTTTATAATGATCTGATAGTATTGTTCTCATATATGGAGCTCCGCCCCCAAATACACCATGAAACTGCCGGATTCTTTTCAGAAACGAACCATCCGTTTGATTGGAGACGCGAACATCACTTCAACCTTAATAGTCTGGAACATCAAAGAAAGATTGAAGATTTGTCACTCTTTTATGGATACTTTCACGGGAAGTGTTCAAGTCACTTGACACATTTGATTCCACCAAGAGCGGTACATATCAGAAATACGCAACAGACTGTGACTGCTCATCGTTTTGAGGTTCAATTCAGTACCCTTCGAACTTCACTGTTTGAAAACTCTTTTTATTTGGAGAACTGCGATCATGTGGAATGAACTTCCTGAGAATGTTTTCCCAAATGGATATAGCCTCCAACGATTCAAATCCAATGTGAATCGCTACTTTCGGACAGGCACCGCTCTCAGAGCGCATTGAGGATATTTCTATAGTGCCTATGTATTGTCCTTAAAAAATATATCGATTGAATATCAGCTCATTCTTTCATTCCCAACATACAAGTGGGAATGAAACTTGCTGATAGTCTTCTTGTAACATTATTCGTCAGTTCCTACACAAAAGTGAAACTTTATTTTCAACAGCATATTCAAAATTAGGAGCAAATCTCATTCCAACTGAGTAATATAGATGTTTATAATGAGTAAGTATCTAGTTTAAAAAAATAGTATACCTATGAACTAAGAGAAAATTGGTATTTAACGAAAGTCATTTTTTGTGGAGGAAAATCATTTTTTTTATCGACTTTTTTGGGTATTTGTTACCTTCCACAATCTTTTACTTCTTTGACAGATATCAAAGGAGTTTTGAAATATGAAATTATGTCAATGTTGTTGATTGACAACTGAAACATTCGATGTAATACAAGGTGCTCTCCGATATCAGTCTGTTGCTATTTCGCCACTATGCAAATTTTCCTTCAAGGTGAGTAGCCAAGTACGTTTCTTAGGAGCTGTTCGAAATAATTAGGAGCTGTTCGAAATAAAATGAGAATGTATGCTGATTCTTTTAGCTTACGTCTCTTAGACTGAGGCTCATTGGTAATCATTCTTGTCCTGTTCCATTCCACTCGATGTTCACCGTCTGATATTAAAATGTGTTCTGACAATTTTTATGTAATCTCGATGTTCATTCTCACGCACTTTCAATGGTCTCATGGTTTCACCAATGTAACTTTCACCACAAGAACAAGGTATTTCATAAATACATTTTTTTGTTTTTTCTTCAGTGTTGTTGGGTTTTGTATGTGTAAGTAAAAGTAGTTCTAACATCATACCTATTTCAAATTCGTCTTATTTTTTCAGATAGTCTTGGAATGTAAGGTATAATGTTAGTTGTGAAAGGTGTCAGTGGATGTTGAGTAGGTAATTGTTTAGTTGGATGTTGTTGAATTTGTGAAGCTGTTTGTAAGTTCGTTTGGTTTTTAATTGACTCTTTATTTTCTATTGCATTCATCGTTGAATTTATGAACGAATCTAGATAAGCATTATCTTTCTGAACAAATTTAATTAACCAAACGAATATACAAACAGTTTCACAAATTCAACAACATCCAACTCAACAATTTCCGACTCAATATCCACTGACACCTTTCACCACTAACGTTATACCTCACATTCATGATAAATAGAAAATTTTTCTTTGTGAAAAATACTTTGATTTTATGCAGTAACTTATCGAAGTAAATTAAAAAGTTTGCCCTTCTACACTTGTATAAAGTTATCCATTATAATTTGTATTTTGATTCAGATTGTGGAAGGTAACAAATACATTGATGGATGTAGCCGTTACTATGTGGTAGGAGATCATGATGAAAAGAGAAATGAAAATTTCTATGTTTTTTAACACTTTTATTTGGAACTAAAGTTACTGCAGTTTCATCCTATATGGACATTTTCAAACTTAAACAATAAACTAAGAATGACTCATTACATTCGCTAATATTTACCATTCAGGTACTTGATTGAGTACCTGAATTTACAGTTCACAATGCGCATGTGCCAATTTAAAAACCGGAGAGTAAAATAAATCGATTTGGTCATTTAACAGGTTGCACCCGCAATGTTTATGCTTGTGAATTTCCAAGGATTCTAAATGATTGAGTTTGCAACCCTTCCTTGCATAGTGCAGAATTTCCGTATCGTTTAGATTCGGAAACTTGTGGTTGCATGCCAAGGAATGGTTTGAAAACGTCGAATCATTTTTTTCCAGTCTGAAGGACCTTTCATGTTCCCCATACCGTTTTTGGAAATTTCGTCCGCATTGTCCCACATAAACACTATTATACTCCGGGCACTTAAGCTTATAAACTCCAGATATTTCCAACTTGTCGACCTTATCTTTGGCATTGAAAAGGAAATGAGATAACTTGGCATGTGGTCTGAATGCTACTTCCACATTGTTTCTTCTGAAGAAACCTGCGATAATTTCTGTTCTTTTCCCAAAATATGTTAGCTTTACCCATTTCTTGATTTCTAGTTGTTTGACCTGAGGATATATTGATCTGCAAGTGAATTTCCAGCTTTGTTTCCCGACTAACTTCTGGATAGTATCACCTCCCACCTCACAGCAGACAGTCATAAATTAGCAGCCTACAATTCAATGTTGCACAGAGCATTCTCACTGCCTTTGTCTGCAGACAATCTAGCTAGGGAAATTGATACAATTACACAGATAGGTCATAATAACGGTTTCAACGCAGATACTATCGAGAATTTAGTCAGGAAACAAAGCCGGAAATTCACTTGAAGATCAATATATCCTCAGGTCAAACAACCAGAAATCAAGAAATGGGTAACGCTAACATATTTTGGGAAAAGAACAGAAATTATCGCAGGTTTCTTCAGAAGAAACAATGTGGTATATATTAGCGAATGTAATGAATCATTCTTAGTTTATTGTTTAAGTTTGAAAATGTCCTTATAGGACGAAACTGCAGTAACGTTAGTTACAAATAAAAGTGGTGAAAAACATAGAAATTTTCATTTCTCTTTTCATCATGGTAACAAATACCCAAAAAAGGTGGATAAAAAAAGAAAACTGGTATTATCGATCCAAGAATGCAGTTATTCGAATTCGAATAAATTGATATGTTACTCTAAATTCAGACGTGTATTTTATGAAGTTATACGTCTGAATTTAGAGTTATATAATCTGAAACCAACTAATTAATTATTCGCATTTCAAAAATATATTTTTGAATCGAATATACCCATGATTAAAGATAACAAAGCCAGGCCGAAGTACCAAATGTTCTGTTTGCTCCTGCGACTGACATCATCACTGGTGTATTATGTGTTGACTGCGAGGTTATATTTTGAAGTCTCAGCAACGTTTTGAAATAAAAAAGATAGAAGACTTACATCCACTAATTATCCAAGTCCAAAATGAAAATAATTTTTAGGGTCCGTACATTCATTTTATTATTAAATTCAAATTAATTCGATTATAGTATCAAATAATCCAAAATAATAGAATGAAACTAATTACCTGAAATATTTCAACTACTATTTTTTGAGTAAAACGTATAGTAAAATAGTAATTTTGCTTCATTCGATGAGTTTCACTTGCAATTTCCAAATGAAAAATATGTTTAACCGAAATAAAATGCATTTGAATCAATAACTTTTTTTGTTGTTTTAATTTTCAACGCCGAAAGTGTACATTCATTGTAGTTGATCAAATTGTCTCTCATACTATTTAGACTAATTTAGATTCAGGAGACACTGTAGTTTGTAACACAATTTTTTCATTAATGAATAATTGGCAAATACATGAGAACGTTTTGCAGTTATATGGAGAATTTGGGAAAATTTCAAAACTGAAGTCCTCCTTAACAAAGTCGAGGGCAACCTCTTTTAATCAATACATGCTCAATACTAAAAATGGGTGAAACTCAAGCTCATTGCTATGGGCCAGATGTTGATTAATAATTACTAACATCTCAGTTTCCGTCCATTAGTATATCAAAATATCAAAAACATTGAACATGATATTAAACAAGAATTAGCAATCATGGTATTACAATGCATAACAAAATGTACAAAAAATTGTACATTCCCCTCCCCACGTTCATATCAACCCAAAATAACATCGAATGAAAAATCAAGTACGTCCTTTCATACCAGAAATGATAAACGACCCAGCTCCAACATGAACTTATAATAAGGGTGGTAAACGGCAGAGAACACATGTAAAAGGAAGTGAAAAGGTGTGAAGATGGATTTTAGAGGAGAACAGACACGCAAAGTGCCAATCTGCTGCGGCGGCAGGTAAAAGATTAGGGGAAGGGAGAAAGTAGGAGGAGTCTAAGAGGTGTTAGATCATCTCTAATGGACCACAAAACGACAATACGGTAGCTAGTCTTGATTCTTTAGTCCCATCTTGGGAATTTGTGCAACGTATTCATATCGTTTGATCTCTTCAAGATGGAGCAGAGTGATCTGGATCCAGTTTCTGATGAAGAGGTGAATACAGACACAGATTTCGAGGATTCTGATGACGACAGTGTTGATATAGTTTCCACAGACTGTGATGTCGATAATTTTCAGAAAGAGGAATTTTCTTGTGCTGTTGCCGATAGTAATTGTAACAAATTTTCTATTGACAATATTCTCGGACTCAGTGAAGTGAAACACAGCTGTAATGACAAGAAGGACAGTGAAGATGATACTGAAAAGTGTTCCGTGGTAAGAAGAGTTAAGTGTGTCAAGCCAACTCCCATTTCAGCGGCAAGAAGTACAGGTTGGCAACATTTATTTGTTGTAGTGAAAGCTCAAAAATAATATAGCCAATAAGTTATTGTTCATAGTAGTAATCAGTTCACCTGCAAATAATTTTCCATCACAATCCGAATGAGAGAAAATGTTTCACTTCACAACATTTTTAATCTTATGATTAATTTAAAATGCAAGTCAAGTAGTTCAAGTATTATTTCAAGATATGACGCCAAACTAATTTCAAAGTCGAAAATGGAATCGCATAATGTTAACCTCAACATTTCTTCTGAAGTGAATAAAAAATATAAATAACTAATGAGAATTCAATATACAGAGCGTTATTTTATATGAAATAGATTGTTCTTATACTTATTGGTGAAATGATAACATCTGCAAAGTGGCAGAGAAAAGTTGCATATAATAATCTTTAGATTTTAATTTCAGAATCTACAGCATTCACATTAGAAAAATTTCATTGGCGATTTCTCATCTTTCTAGCGGAAATATTCATTCCTAAATATTTGCTGTAACAATTATTTCAAAGTAGAGATGAAGAAGGTATCTATATTCAAAATGTCATCTGATCAGCAAAAAATTAGTTCCGTCATTCTGAAAATTAATAAACCTGAGAATTGGGGCAAATATAAATTGTATAAACTGAAAGGGTAGGTACATTTTTAGGAGAGATAAACTTTAGGGAAAGAAAGATTTTGGCTTTCTACTTCTCTATCTTGATACAAAAAAAATTTGGGCTTTGTTTCCTGACTAACTTCTGGATAGTATCACCTCCCACCTCACAGCAGACAGTCATAAATTAGCAGCCTACAATTCAATGTTGCACAGAGTATTGTATAAATTGAAAGGGTAGGTACATTTTTAGGAGAGATTAACTTTAGGGAAAGAAAGATTTTGGCTTTCTACTTCTCTATCTTGATACAAAAAAAATTTGGGAATCTTGCGAAGAAAGAAAGAAAGCAATCAATTTCAGAAATTAACTCTATACAAAGATGTTCAGACAAAAACCCTAAGAAAAAGCTCTTTCAAAACAGCTATTTCTATGTAAACATTGAATTATTTGAAGGAAAAACACTTTCGAAACAAATACTTTTATAAAAACGTTGAATTATACGAAAAACATTCATTTCTATTCTGGTTGTATTCCTAATATTGGAATCGAATCAGATAGCATTCACAGGATTCCTACAAAACATAAAATATATGTTTTTTTCATCGAACTCTTGACATGAACATTATTATAGTATTTTAATTTTTCATAAGGAAACAAATATTTCCATTTTTCATAAGGAAATAACTATTTGATACATCCATTTCTCTCAAGCTACACAGTAGATTCTGATAAATGTATGTCGGAAACAACTACATGTACAGCTAATACCACGATGAACATTGGATTATATCCAACAGACATTTATGTACGATACTTGACAGTCTTACAGATTTTGATGATCCATCCAGCTGCAGAGCCAATCTGAAATATTGAAAAAAAATTTACAATTTTGGGTTTGTGTATTGATTCTATCCCAGAAAAATATTTTCAACATAGCGATACCTCCATTCAGAGTTCTCTCTTGAAGATGCATTTTGAATCCTCTCAAATATCATATTTTAAAACGTTCAGAGCATTCAATAACTTCACTGAAGTTGATGCAGATAATACTTATTCGTTTTTTCTCAGACCCTCTAAATAAAAGTAGGTAACCAATCAAATGAAATATATACCTACAACGTGGTAATACCAATATTTATTTTATGTTCATATTATGTAACATGTAATAAGGGTATTGAATGAAAGTTAAACAGTGTTGATTTTATTGATATTTTTTAAAGGTGACATTTACCAGACAATTTTGGATCTTCATAAATACGGACGCCCGGAACCACAACCACCAGATCCGGGTTTGCATCAATTTCTACCCTCAAAGTTATCGCCTAGCAATTCAGAAGCATCATATTTGCAGTATCATCTTCAGCATGGTATTCCACCTCCATCCATATTCTATTCAAATTGGATAGGAGCCTCACCAGAAAGCAAAAACTCTAGTCACTTATTCGGATTACAAGGTAAGAACTTGTCATTTTGAAAAAACATTTTGGTGAAAAGAGATAACTACCTCGTCAACGGGCGGTAGTGCAAAAATCAAAAACCAAAAATTGGTCTTCACGGTTGGAACGCACCTTCAGCTCGTCGTAATTTTGTTGATATCATACAAAAAATTGTGTTTAGGATTATTTGTTTTGAATATCCGCCACAATATACCTCGAGAGAACATAGCAGATTTATTTTGAAGATCAAATCAAGTATCATATCAAAAGTGCACCATATTTAATCGACTAACATGTTTGCAAATCCATAACTTTTGAGGTTACGCTAAGGAAAAAACTTCAGCAAATTATAATGTATGAAAACATTTGCTTATTTTTAATACTCTATTACTTGATAGAAATTAATAACACTATATCCATAGTTTTGACAATAAATTTTATTCAAAACGCTTAGAGTTACTCATCAGTTACTGGTATAGTTCAAGTAAACGATATAGTGCAACCTACCTTCTAACAGCTCCCCTTTAATAATATAGTTAGGAGCTAACTAATTTCGTTACTCAATAATCATTTCTGATTATTTCATAGATTGGATGAGACTACTTACTATCGTGAGTTTGAGAGAAGCTAGTTCCTTCATAACAATCAAACTTGTTGGTCATCTTATGTAGAACAGATAGTATGAAAGTAGTTTTGATTTAGATATTCTCTCTGTTTCACTATCACTGTCGTCATTAAAATCATTAATGAATTTCCTTCCACCATCAATATGGTGGAAGGTCTTTTTCAACCATATAGTCTTTTTCAACTAAAATTAGTTTCTTAATCATTTTTCGCCAGTCTTCTTCGGTAATATTAGAAGATTCTTCTTCAATTGAGTCGACAGAATTGAAAACACAAAAATAGGGGGGAGTCTTAGCAATACTCTCAAGGGCATACACTTCTTCAAATGTGTTTGTCTGTAAAATTTCAAGTTGTTGGTTTTTGGTATAATGATCTTCAAAATACAAATTGTTATCCATTAAAAAACTTTGTATTTCATCTTTCCTCGAATATTCGGTACTTTGATGAGCTGTCGCGAATAAAAATAAGCTGTCGCGTTGTCAAGAACTATTAGACTATTCGCATCCAAATTTGGAATCAAACAATTCCTCGAAAATATTAGCTTCCATGTTCTTATGATATAGTCAACATTACAGTTCTCAAGTTTTTTTCCACATAATTTCAAAGAATTCGGAACCCATCCTTTACTTCCTCCGCAATGCACCATGATTATTCGCGATCCTTTGTTTGCAAACATGTTAGGCGTACACATTCTCAAACCATTAGTCCACCCTTTCGTAACTCTGTCGTAAGTGTCATATCAAGTTTCGTCCAAATAGAAAATTTGTTGTTGTTCTTGTCTATATTTATAGTTATTTGTTCTAAGTATTTGTTACGTAATTCCACTATTCTTCTGCTTTCCCAAACTGTTTGACGTTTGTTTATTATTTTGAATCTAAATCCTAGTTTCTTTATCCAATTCTGAAGGGTTTTGTCACAGCAGCACGTTATGGCCTCATTATTTCAATTGTAGAAATCTCATTGCTTTTGTAATAGTCGTATATCGTTTTTTTCAATGATTTTATTAGATGAATATCTAAAGGTTTTGGTAATCCTGTATAACATCGCGTCTTGCCTTCATAAGGTTTGTTTTTGACTATTTTACGTACAGTTGAGAAAGGAATTCCGGTCAAATCTGATGTTGGTTGTAAGAGTTTGTTGTAATACATTGAAACATACTCTCTGTGTTTCAATATTCAAATGCATCTGAATCCTATTCACTGGTATCTCTTTTCAGCATTGTTCACCATCGCTATTGGAATTACTGCATTCGAAAAAGTCTGCGTTGTTATCACACTCGTTATTACTATTAGTACTTGTCCAAGGGCGCCACTTTTCAAACAGATAACAAAAATTTTAGGTAATTATAACTACACCAATATCGAATTACAATAGTCAAATCGCGATTAGTTCCTGATGAATTGAACATTGATGGCACGACGGCGATAACCATCTCCGCATTCCCCGTAACATGACTTCGAATTTAATTTTATCAGTCTTCAGCCAATCATAAAACTCGGTTAGTGAAAATTATCCAATACGAATCGCCAATTCTACGGTCCACGTGGACTACTTCGCACCAGGTTTATTTTCATGTATTGGTTTTTTGGCCTGTGAGAGTGCCGCCAAGTTTAAGAGTGCACAATATCGTTTACTTCGACTATACATGAAACTATTTTATAATATATATCTATCATATAACAGTGGGTAATTAGAAAAATGATTAAATACGGTAAAACAGTAAATATTCTAGAAGTAATAAAATATTACTTCTAGGAAACAGATACAGATATATCAAAAATTTAACAGATAAATGATTATTTGTGGCAAAACAGGTAGATTTAGAAAACACAAATGAATATATTATTTTTAGGAAAAGAATCAATATCACAAAAAAAATGTATTGCTTAAAAGCACAATTTTTCATATATTCATTAATGGAGTTGCACGCATTATGATTGGTTCAACCTGGTGTACAGGGGATTGATGTTGAGATTATTTCCAGAAAAAGGATAATTAGGAACTCGAAAAACCTAAACTCAAAATTGCTTAGGATTTATGTGAAATATGAAAACCGATTTATGTTAATTTCAATCGGATAGATGGTCTAGTCATTTGATCTCTGTATAATAACTTGCAGGAAGAGGGAAACATGGGCTTGTTTGGGTGGATTACAAATTGAAACGAGCCACAATAATCTCACGCATGTTGCAGTGGAGTGGCTCAACACTTTCAACCAAACTCTAGCTAGTTGAGATCTAAAAGTTTTGTTTCACCTAACGAAAACCAAAAAAATTGTGGAAAACTTCCAATGGAAGAAAGCAAGCGACTAAGTTCAAAGTAAACTTTTTTCAAAAAGGGTCAGATCATGCATAGAAGTCACTTTCAGCTGCAAACTGGAAGAAAAAGTCTTTCCGAAAGAATTATAGTATCGCATGAACATTGGATTATACAAAAACAAATTGTTTTCCGAAATAACTCACATGAAGATACCTATGATTTTATACGAAAATCACTTTTTCCTACGCTGCACAATATAATATGTGATCTACACATTTTTGTAAAGAGTACATTTTGAACTCGTTTGCTTTATTTCTTCCTTCCAAAGTTTGCTACAATTTTTGGCAAGAAAATCGAGAAGTGAAAGCCAAATCGTTTTCCTGAAAATATACCCCTTTCAATTTATTTATAGTTACATTTTTGTTCTGCCATAGTGTCACATCACCTTGTTCTTGAGAAATAGTCCCGTTTTCACCAGAAGGACGTGCTTTTGAAGATATAAAGCGTGACAATCTTCGCTATCTAGAAAGTCTTTGAACATATCAGAACATTTATTAGTGTGCGAAAGTATTCCACAATTCGCAACATCCCGGACTATTCTGGAGTGTGATGGAATGTACTTTATTCCCCATCCATGAAGAAGGATCTTGTTTATTCCTGAAAGGGTGATTTTATAGATATGAAGGCTATAATTATCTTAGAACTTTACAAGTTTCCAGAACTTTTGAGAGTATTGACAAACATTCCACAGCATAACAAAACATCGCGAATCATTCTGGCATGTTCGAAAACAGTCTGTAAATTTCAGGAATATCTTAGGACTTTTTCGTAGGTTATTGCGGAAAAGTCTTGAATGCTAAAGCATGCTCTGGGACATCGTGGTTCAATCGAAGCTTTTGCTGTACGGGTAAGGCTACCCTATGATAGGGATATATAAAGCAGGATACGTTGGCTTCTTATAATTTGAAGTTTATACTTCTATTCCAACTACCACGCAATATCATATCATCTCTTTGAATGACACCGGGTAGCACTGCGAATTGTTCATAATTATTACTTTCAATTTCAAACTAGGTGAATATTTATCTTCCAAAAGACAAAACCAAAATACGACTTCCACCTTTGCCACCTTTCTCCATCACGCCTGTTTTATCAGTCTGGAAGGCTTGCTCAATAGTAAATGTGGCAATAACTCCTAAGATATCAATTTGAATTATATGGTGTAAACGGCATTATAATGTCTATGTAATACAGCAAATAATATACTCATATCGTATGAAATTGCTTTCAAATTACTACTTCATATGTGACCATTAATTCAAACATCAAAATGGGCAAGCCAGTATTGAGGAATACACATATACGAGTATCATAACGTACTTTTCAGTACCAATAAAAATATTCTAGTGAATTTTATATTATATCACAAAGGATAAGACAGCGTTCTCGATGTTAGCTCGCAAGGTAGCACCACCGCCCCATAACATCATCAACTAAATCACACAAAATAATAATACATTAAGGTGGAGTGGGGTGAGTGCAGATTGGTTTTTATAGAGTTAGACTTCAAACCTATAAATTTCCAATGTGTAACAGAAATACGTTATATCGCTGGTGAACAAAGCATTATGTAAGAATTGTTTCAGAAAATTTGTTATCACTGTCCCCGTTTTTACTTTTATACTCACATAATAATAGAAAATTTCATTACATGTCGTTAATCCGCACTTCCTCATCAAATCGGCACAAAAGCGTATATGCCAGTTAAAAGCATAATGAAACCTCATTTAAACTTCTTGGGGCAAGAGCGTAATTCATAGCAAATCTATATTCAACTGCTTTTCGCCGCATTCAGTTATCTTGCTTGGTTTCAGAGTTGATTTCTTTGAAAAATACAGACATCTTTTGGTGAAATTTTCAGCAAGGTTTTGGTTGATTGAAACGTCTGCGTATTGTGGAATATTCAAGCAAGCTCTATGGTACTTGTAAATAAACTGTTATGCAGTAAATATAAGGAAAATACTCTAAAACAAAATAAACTAAGTATGTATATACTTATACTGCCACTGGTCCCAAATATTTTTGCCATTGAAAAGTATTTCGTCTATGTTCCAGATTCTACTAAGATCGTTTTC